ATAAGACTGTAACCCTTCCTTTAAGGGTGTGTGATATTCACATATTTGGCTCGATGTATGTATCGTCCTTGAAGACACATTTGTCTGATATTGGGAGCCACATTGTAAAGGACAATGTCCTTGCCTTGTTCAAGAGAAGTTAGAGGGCCTTATTTCTGTTTTTCTTTGGGGTAGTTCACCAGATAAGGGTTTCCCCAGCTACTTACACAACTAGCCATATTTTGTGACCCAGGACCAAGCATCCTCTAATTATGCAGTATGGACAAAGATGTCATGACCCCTTAACCAACCACTCCTATGATTATTTTTGGCTTTGGTGTAAGATGCCATGATCCCTAACCAACCACTCCTATGATTATTTTTTTGGTTTTGGTGTAATTAATCTTATTACTAAGTTTTTATTTGAAACCCACTTTAAGCATGTAAATCCACCCTGCTAACTTTCAGCTTCCCAAAAGCATATGATTTTAATCACTGAAAACATGGGATGTACAAACCAGCTCTGTTCTAACTATGAAGACTATTCCTATTGTTGTTATTTAGGTTATGAATATAATGCAAGCACTTGAGTTTCTTACATGTGGCTACTACCTTCCCAGCCATTGATGTCAACAAACAACAGCTTAGGGGAATCATTTTCGCTTTTCTCATGGACTTTTAGAGGGTACGATGCGCCTCAATCGTCTATTATTGACATCGGATGGCTCTGGAGGTGCTAGGCATACTATGGTATTATTACTACACAACTATTGTTTGTCATTAGTCAACATGATTTTTGAGCAGGTACAAGTATTGTATTGTTAAAAAGGTTTACAACTGCTCAGACATAAAAATATGATTCAACTGCCAATGTTAATAAAAAGATGTCAAAATATTATAGTATTGATTTGTTAAACAATTTTACAACTACTCACATGTAAAAATATTATTCAACTGCAAATATTTGAATTCCCACCATTGATACCTTAAAGATCTATTAAGGCCTGTCCACAAGTCCATGCCATGCCATGTGGGGCCCACACTACATATCGCAAAGCGGAGCATGGAATGTTGGATCAAGGTGATCCTTGTACCATTTGGCATATTATGAGTCATAGTATGGTTTATAATTGAAATGAGCCTATTTAGATAAACTTTCAACGGGTTAAGCGCAAACAAGCACCTTCAAGGTTTCTAGGATATTGGAACAGCACTTAGGATAGTATTGTAAGGACATTACATTAAAAATATGTTTAATATTTGAGCCGTTACTCCTCCTCTTCTTCTTCTTCTTCTTCTTTTTATTTTATTTTTATTTTTATTTTTATTTTATTTTATTTTTCATTTAGGTAATTTCTCAAAAATATTGAAGATTTCCCAAATCACCCTTGTTTAGAATTGGGAAGGATGACATTCATGAACAAATAATTTGACCCTCCAAGATGCCTCAAAGGCGTGTTAAAAGTACCCCTAAATTTTAAAATTTTATTGACGAAGTGTCAAGGTAAAAATAAAAATAAAAATAACCCCTCAAATATCAATTGAGATCGTTTGACTTCTTTGATAATTTGCGATGCATTTAAACCAACGAGAGAGGGATATTCGATGCCTGTTCATCATTCTCTCGTTTGCATTCAAATTTCCCCTACTTTTCCCTCCTGTGACATTTCATCGATCGATTCATATAATATGATCCATATAGTCATGAGGCCAACATGATTTAGAGGTTCTCATCTTCCCATCACTAAACTAGACCGTGAAAGCTGTCCATTACCATCCAACCCATTTGAATGGATGGTGGTGATCCAAACGTTCACATAGTTATAACGATAATATGGATCATCATTCTATATTTTTCCTTTTATTTGAGGGAAATAACCATGTATGAAGGGGCCTTGAAGGATCACACAAGTGTATACCTCTTATCACTCATTATCTATCAAGCAAAGAGATTGATCATCTCCACGGTCCATGTTAGATATCCAATGGTGGAAAAAGGGATGTGAACAAATTGAGTGGAACTCATCTTATAATATCATTCCTGTGCTCTAAAGGGAAAATGTACTATGATCTTGTGGAGAGTGGAAAATCAAAGTCCTGGCCTTATCCCTCTGATGAGATAATGGACGATGATGGAGAGAGTGGTCATAATCCCATAGAGGGGGACTTATTCTCTTGCCAAAACTCCATCATTCTCCATATTTTATTGGATGGTGATAAACCTAATGGACTGACTTTCATATCGATCTCCTATTTTTATTTTGTTTTCCTGTTTTGGTTGTTTAGAGGTAGGAGTCGATTAGTGCGTATAAATCAAAAGTTGAGAATTCAAGATGAGTGCTTTGAGCACCAAATCCAATTCTTTTATAGGTCTTAATCTTAGATATGGATGGATATCTAAAATTTTGAGCCGGGGACAAACCAAATCTCAAACCATTATATATACTTTTCTTTTATATATTTTATTAAGGTTGAGAATCTACGCTGTTTGGATCTGAAACCCGAATTTTGGACCCTATCAGGCTACGAGTATGGATCCAATATTTGGATCCAATATTTGGATCCAAATAGATTCAGATCGTATCCAAGTAAGATGGATCCAACACAGTTATTCACATATTATATATAAATATATATTATATAATATTTTTTAATATTATTTTGTGTATAAAGTAATTTATAGAATATATTTTTTGGATTTGATCGGATCTAGATTCGGATCTCATGTATACTTTTTGGATTTGAATCTAAATCTAAATATTCTAGATCTGAATCCAGATCCTGATCCCCTGTGTACTTTTCAAACCTAAATCTGGATCCTTATGTATCTAGACCCGATCCGACCCATCAAGTCTTGCGAGGGGCATGCTAACCGAAAATAAGAAAATCAAATGAGAATTTATCTCAAAACAAAGTGGGGCAGAGCTTTTCAAAAGACAAATAATAAATCAAAAGAATAAGCATGAGGCAACCACAAAAGCTTTTAAATCTTTGAGATGCTTGATCACGCAATTACTTTATTATACCATTGGCCATAGCCTTGTGGTGGCAACGTTGATTTGCACTAAATTGAAAAATTAGTTATTGGAACTTGACACATCCACGGTCAAATTATAATCAGATAGTAGAGATCGCGACTTTAAGCGCGATTTCTTCTGTTCATTATAAATGGACGATAGATATGTTAAGGGATGCAATCCAATCACTGTATCCTTTCATGCAAAACTCGACCTCTCTCTAATTTAATATCAAGTTTCACGAAGAGAGTTAGTTTGCTTTCTTGATGGTGTTGAATAGTTGATTTGAGAATGGAAATGCCTATTTGCTCAAGACAATAAAAGACAATTCACGCAGCATGCGCTTATAAGTCTTCAAGAGTTTAGTAATTTGGTTTTAAAAGGCTAGGCATATTTCTACAATTATAAATAACATATCACCTTCATATATATAACAATTTTTTTTTTTATATAATAATATAAGTCAATGAGAAGACGGCATGCAAGTAGCCCTTCCTTAATTTATTACATTATTCATATAGCTAGGTGTTCTCCAGTGTCAATGCAAGTTGAGTATTGATACACACCAACATATGACACCACTCAAATTTTAAGATATCATAGTAATACTAATATAAATGGACACGATTTTTTTAAATGAGTCACCTCTTAAAAATTTATTTTTGAGATGGATTTTTTGACGTAATTTTTAAGAACATGTAATCTCTAACATAGAGATTATGAATATGAAAAAATAAACAAATTTTGAAAATTAAAAATAATAGTTCTCTTAAGAAAATATTTGGACCATTAGTTTCAATTGTTTTTAGATGGACCACCTATTTCATCCATCTTTAAGATGGATGCTTTACACCTCCGGGACCGTAAATGTAGAAATGCGGTCCTTGCCGCATGAAACAAATTTTCAATATAAATACATAGTAAATTTTCATTATCCTCAATATAGCCAGGTCTTCTCAAATATCGACATGTACCCAAGTATTGGCACGTATCAACCAAATTTATAATGTCTCAAGAATGAATAGAGGCCGTCCAATTTTTAGCGGGTGAGATTCAACTATTAGAGAACTAAAAAAAATTTATTTTGAAAAGGATGTGATTTTCATGAGGTTGCAACCTTTAACAATCCATTTAAGGTGCACCTTCAAATTTTATCATAACATGTAATTTTGATGTAAAATATTCTTAAGGTTATCTCAAAATCTATTTTCATATCTAATTATAAAATTTTAAACTCTAAAAATGATTAAAATCAAGTAGATCTATAAATATATGAAAATCTTGAAAATGGACAGTCTAGATAATGTTTCGTAAGGTGCACCATTTCTGGGACTTAAAGTATTTCTTTGTTTTTTTTTTCATAGTCATTCATCTCGTTGTCGAGATGATCAATTAGAAGGTTTTTCAATATTAAAACAACATTTTCGGATAGATTTTTGAGGTGCCTCCTTAGTTGCAATCTTATATAAACTTTTCCCTTTTGAAAATAATCATCTAATGATTAATAGGTGGTTCCCAAAATTTTTAATTGAAAAATCCTCCCAATAAGATCTTGAAAGTAAGTGTACAACATGCTATGGCCCGAGCATAGTGTGCGTGCTTTATATTTTCTATATATATATCATTCCCTTTTAAAATGGTTGGTATTGGGCCAATTTGGCCACTATAGATTTTATTTTATTTTATGTTTTCCAGGTAATTCAATAAGGAAGGCTGACTCCTATCTGTTTTTTTATATAGATTAGGAAAAGTTTATTTTTTTAAAAAAAAAAAAATATCCGTAGGTGGTACAGAATGATTAAAAACCACAACACGATAGAGGGTGCTACCACCTAGTGGAAATATGATCTAACCATACGGATGGACCTTCTATTACTCCCCAATAAAAAATAAAAAAAAAATCAACAAATCTACAAAGGAAGCACCAAGTTAGTTGATAGCAACCCTTCCCTTATCTTTCTCTCTCTATATAAACAAGAGAACAGCATGCCTTTCTCCACCATCAAGCAAGACAGAGCTTATATTGCACTTGTTTGGTTCACTAACCCTCTTTACAATGGCCAGTGGAAGAGGTAGTTGCATGAAGGTGTTGTGTTTCTCTCTCTTGATTGCCTTGTGCTCTACTGCCATTCATGGTTCCACAACTCATGTGGTTGGTGATTCTAATGGCTGGGGCTTCTCAGTTTCCTACACTGACTGGGCTGATGGCAAAGATTTTGTTGCTGGAGATACTCTAGGTTACACACAAACTCTTTCTTTACTCTTTAAAAGTCTAGGTTAAACATTTTCTCTCTCTCTCTCTCATCAAACAATAACAGAAGAAAAGATCTCTCTCTCTCTTAAACCACACTCTTTCTCTCACACACACATACCCACATTAGGAGGAGAAAAGATCACCTTCCCTCTCTCTCACACACACAAACACACTCACATTAAGAGCAGAAAAGAGAGATTAAGTTTCCTCTAATACCAAATGAGAGTTTGTTTTGCTATCTTTATCTAAATATACTCTCTCTCTCTATATATCTAATGAGAGTTTGTTTT